ATGTATTAGCAGCGTGAGCGCTGCTTTACGATCCAAAAATGCGGATTTCTGAGCTTCAGAAACGGCGCCAGGAAGTTCAGGTTATGTTGTTTTGCTTTGCCGCGGATTCATTTAACATCTCTGGAGGACGATAGACGCTTTCCTGCTACTTCTAATAAAGTTTTGGATAACTGGCTACTGTTAAGCATCAAGATGGCTTAATCAGTGTCGTCAATCTGAAGAGAAGCTCACTTAGCATCTCTGTTAAGAAGGAGATCCAATCGTTGCGCCCCCTGGGGGCTAAAGCGAGAACCACTCCGATGGGAACAACACCATAGATGAATTGTTTGTGTTTTGACGCTGCGCTCGACGCACGAATGCCGAACTTTGCGTCATCGTTCGGCTTGGGCTCGTATTGAATCAGTGAAGCCGAACGCGGATGCAGCGAAAAATTGCGCACGAGTCACGCCCAACCTTTGCCCCGCGCTCAATCTAGAAAGATGAAGTAAAGAGTCCAGTGCACGTTACCCTGCGTTGTTAAACACGGAACTCTGGAGAAACCAAGCTGGACGTAGCGCCCCCTATAATCCGGTATCCGCGCAATAGCCGTAACCACTCTGGAAACTTTCGCTCTCTCCTGGAAGGGGTAGCAGTTACCCACTAAGCTATGAAGTTTCACTCGACAAGCAGCACCATATCATGCGGACTTTTTGTGACTCTGAGGCTACTCGCAGCCGAAGACATTGGACCCTATCTCGAGCTTGAAACGCCCGAGTGCTCTGCCGAAGCGTGACGCAGCGCCCCTGCCCAACCCTTCGCCGGCACGGCCTTTCCAACGCTGGCCTTTTTGGTCACCAGGCGCGCCGACTAGCAGCCGACCAACGCGCTCCCTCTACACTGCCCTCGGGAAGACTTGCAGGTAACACGTTACAAATAACGCGTTATTATACGTTGTACCTCCTAGTACCTTTTCTTTCCTTAACAAAGTAGTGACCTAGTTACTTTATAAGAGAATTCAATTCAATTATACTCATTTTATTTATTCCCATAATACGAAATGGGCGATGGAGGCAGGAGAAAAAGCTGCAGAAATGCAGCTTGACGAAGCCCCTGCCCCCTACAGGTAGATTGGACAGCGGGATACAATTGCATCATTTGAAACAAAAAAAAAAAGAACATTTATGCACCACACCGAAAAATATGTTATTAGGAAAATAATATTTCACGCAATCTATTATTGTTTACATTTTCAATGACGACATTTTTTTCTTTGAAAAAATTCAATACTGTTGGAAGTGTGTGCTGAATCATCTGTAGACCGTGATTAGTTCTTGGACGTGGTACTCTCAAGGTTCCGGCGCTGCGCATATCGTATGCAATATTTTTGCTAGTCAATTTGGAAATTTGCCGTAATGGATGATTATGAAATTTAAGTGATGCCATGTACATAGTTAATAGCTTATATTTAAAATATTCTTTGATTTTCATTACTTTATGTTTAGAAAAAAGAGGTTCAGTGTGTGCGCAATGAGACTCATTAGTTACGATGGGAATTGGTTTTTTCTGCAGCAAAAACAATTTATTAACGTTAGTCCTTGTCGTAGTTCCCCAAACTAGGTTACAGTATGATATACGAGGATTAAATAATGCATTGTAAATTAAAAGCTTTACACGAGATGGTAATATAAAGCGGTTCTTATATAGAATACCTATGATGCTTGAAAGTCTCATAGTAAGATTTTGAACATGCGAGTCCCATAACATATGTTCGTGAAAAATCACGCCTAATGTTTTAACAATAGTTACAAACTTAACCTCCGACGAGTTCATCATTAATTTTGTGGTGGCCTTACACACTGTACCTTTCGGTTTGAAGGTAATTGCATTTGTTTTACTTTCATTAATTTTCAGTTAATTCGAGACAGTCCACCAACTAAGTCTTTCAAGGCATATATTTGCATCGGTAATTAAACTATCAATGTCTTTTCCTGAAAAAAAAATATACTGGTATCATCTACATAAATGACAAATGAAGCTTTCCTTGTGATAGTAACTTTATCATTTATAGATAAGTTAAACAGCAATGGCCCCAAGACAATTCCTTGAAGTACTCCTGTCCGAACTGCTTTCAGCATTGAGGAATAACCGTTTATTTTAACAGCTTGATGCCGGAAACTCAAGTAGCTTTCTATAAGGGCCAGGGAATGCCCTCGAATTCCATAAGAATATAGTTTTTCTAACAGAACTTTATGACTCAGCCGGTCAAAGGCTTTAAAAAAATCAATAAATATTCCTAAAGTTAGACACTTATTTTCATAATTGTTTAAGATAATTTCTTTTTGCTGTAAAAGAGCCAGTTCAGTAGAACGACCTTTCCGAAAACGATACTGAGAATCTGTAAGTAGCATATTTTTTTCACAAGACTTTTAGCCTAACATGAATAACTTTCTCTAAACCCTTGGAAAAAACAGGCAATATTGAGATCGGTCAGTAGTTGGACATATTATTTTTGTCTCCGGACTTGTATAAGACAGACACCTTAGCTATCTGCATACCTTTAGGAAAAACACCAGTCGAGAACGACAAATTAAAGATATGTGTATGACAAGGCGAGATGATGTCAAGCACGTATTTTATTGGCTGTACCTGCATTCCATTAAAATCGGTACATTTACTGTTTTTGAGGTTCAGAAATGCTGAGCTTACCTCGCTCTCGTCGGTAGGAAACAGAAAACAGTTTTGTGAAATTCCTTGAGTTGAACACGGGGAACCGCTTGTTTGAGCAGGGGAGAACAAATTCGTGAAATAATCATTAAATTTATTTGCTAGTTCAACTCCACTCAACTTATTACCTTCTATTATAAGTTCCCTTATAACGTTATCGTGATCGTTTCGGTCTAATAAAATATTAACTTTTTTTCCAAATTACGTCAGTTCTATTTTCACTGTGAAACATTCTGTAATAATATGAACATTTTGCTTTCCTTAGCATGCTTGTTATCTCATTTCGACACTTCTTAAACTTTTGAAACAGATCTAGGTCTCTAGTGCTCAAAAAACGTGCATAGAGCTTGTTTATTTTAGTTATCATTCTTAATATTACTTTGGTGACCCATGGTTTCTTAGACTTTTTAGATATAGTTACTTTTTGAGGCTTAAAACATTCTTTATATATAGCATCAAATTGATCTGTGAAGTAATCGTACGCTTCATCAGCCCAGTTCCTTGAGAGCACCACATTCCAGTTTTTAGACGCCAGGCAGTGTCTGAACATTTCTAGGGTTTGAACGTTAACAACTTAGGTATAGTATATGGTATCATAACTAGGGGCTTTCCTTAAATTATCTAAATCAGCAAGAAAATAAATTGGAAGATGGTCACTGATATCAGAACACACTCAACAGCAGAGACCCGAGTACAAGTTATGTTTGTAATAAACAAGTCCAGTAACGTTTCACTGAAAGAAGTAACGTGAGTAGAACAAGTGATTACATTGAAGAGACCAAACGACTGAAACAAAGTAGAAAATTCAACTTGACGAGCAGAAACAGAATTCATATCGATATTGAAATCACCGCCTAAAATCATTTTATAATCGTTGTCACCAACAAATTGAAATAACTAAAAAAAGCTGATAAATCACCACTCGGTGGTCTATACATTAATGCAAACACAATGTTACCGTAATTCACACATAGAGCTTCATAATCATCAGTCATTACAGAAAAATCTGTTATGAGATTGCATTGAATATCTTTCTTAATGTACATAGCTATTCCACCACCGCGCAGAGATGTACGATTCAGATAAAATATGTTATAATTCTCGAAGCGCAAAATATCAGACTCTTGATTGTACCATGTCTCGCTTAGCATGATTACATCAAAACAAAATCCAAAATCATCAAGAAGGATTCCAAGCTCATCACTTTTATTTCTCGCCGACCTGACGTTTAAGTGAAAAACAGAAAGTGGTTTATTTGTTTTATCATTAAACAACATTATCACATCTGAAGGAAAGCGAAGTTCTGCGACGGTCATGTGAACAAAAACATATACAAAAAAAAATAAGCTCCCCTGGCCTTATCGTCTACAGCTTGTCAAGGCCATCCAGGCATTTGATCTGAATGGCCCGTGCGCCTTCCGTCCTACGAACAAGAACTTTCCCATCTGCGTATCACGCAAAAGCGTAGCCTCTTTCTTTCGCCCGATCTTTGGCTGCCCTAAGAAATTCCCTGTTATGTCGAGTGAGATTATCTTGGATAAAAATACGTGGTGTACATTTCTTTTTCATCCACGTGTCTTTGATTTTTTGTCTTACAAAATGAACAATTATTCCGGGGGCGTGGTCTTGTCTTGCGGGCAGCCTGTGTAGAGCTACAACGTCAGATTCTGCCAGTCGAGGAACCTCTAGTTTCTCAGCAACTTTGTTTAATGTCTCAATCAAGTTTTCACCCTGGACCTCCGGGATACCATGAACTTCCAGATTCAGTCGCCGACTTCGAAATTCGAGGTCGTTAACCTCTTTCTGGAGTTGGTCATTTGCTGCCTTGCTAAGAAACGAGTAACGTGCTTTTGTTGCTTTTTTGACGAAGCAATAAGTAACGGTATTTAGCTACATCTGGAAGGGAGCGTGTACAGCACAAGTACTAACCGAGTTCTCACCCCAGCTCGTACATGTCATTTGCACGACGAGAAAACGCCACATAACACATAAAAGGATGAGCACAAGGTACGCCAGTATAACCACAGTTATTCCGGCACGAACAGATTAAATGCGAAGAATTATTAGCCACGACAGATATTCGAAGCGCTTACTGTTTCGAGAAACAACAGATTCATATAGTAACGAGAAAATGAACGCGCTCCTCTCAAGGTGGCGTAACGTGTTCCTTTTGAATCGCGGTTCAACGCAACTTAGTTACTTTCAGAATGCGTGACGAGTAAAGGTACTTCGTTACCTTATGTTAGTAACGTAGACATGCCTGCCCTGGGGCTGTCCGACAGGTGTGACTAACTTACCTTCGAAGGGCACCGTGTTGCACATGTCCAGCCGGTGAGAGAGCTGCCTCTGGAAGGTGAGGTGCCTCGTGGGCACGGTGGGCAGGGTTATCTGTCGGTGCGGAGCCACCTTCTTGGGCACTGCGTCTGGCGACACGTCCGGTTGCACCTCCTTCATTTCCGGTAGGCTGTGGCTGATCTTTATCGACGGCACGTTTGATGAGCTGGGAGACCTGCAAAAATGGCGATGAAATCAGTGCCCCAATCAAACCCGGTCGTAAGCAAGATCAAGTTGTTGATCATGACTGAGCATGCCCAACATGCTCACTCATAGTGAAGCACCATGAGAAGCGCGGAGTTTTACCATGCTCAGGGACAAAGCACAGACTGTTTTAGGACAGATGTTGTTTTTTAATGTCTAATCATAACAGAGAGTTTTAGGACAGCATGGAAACTAACGCTTTTAAGGCACTGTAGACAGCCCGCAGTATTCGGTTTTTGAACGTATCGCGCTGTGATTTACTACACAGGTACGAATAGGTGATAAAAAAGTTTAGTGAAAAAAGTAAAGCAAAATATTGAACTTGCCTCATTCAAAAGAGAGAGAAAAAAAACTGTTCTGGAGATTTTACGCCGCCACTTCGCAGACGAAGTACGACTAGAGAAAAGTGATGACGACAGATGTCGCACACTGCGTGGAGGGAGCGCCGGTCGATTCGGGTTACGATAGGCTCCCTCGGCGCAGCGTACGCTATCTGTCAGCAGCACTTTTCACTACACGTGCGTCGTCTGCGAAGCGGTGCCGTTAATTACGCGAAACAAGTTTCTATTTTTTTTAACGAGGTAAATTAATGTTTTGATGTTTTCACTGTTTTCACCGTTCGGAAATTAAAAACAGCGCGGAAAGACGAGGACCAGACAAAGAAGTGACACGGACGTAGCGCTGACTTACAACTGAGTTTATTGAACGCAAACTCGCAATATTTATTTGCGGTGTCACGAACAAAAGAACATAAAAAATTCAGCCCATGTGATGTATCACCAATAAAAATAAAACAATGATAAAAAACATTGAAAAAAACATTGAAAAAAATAATAATGAAATGCGCCATGACACAGCCGTACAGAGTATGTGCCAAAAATCGAGCAAGTCACGGAACTAGAAAATTCATCTCTTTGCCTGATAGGGCCACAGAAGGACTGCTTACACATGCTGCACCCAGCCTCGCTATCTCAACAGCCTCTCGAATTTCCCGAGTAAGCTGGTCCCTATGACGCTTAACAACCTCACACCGTTGGAAGTCGGGAAGGCAACCACAGTCGCGGCAATGAATGCCCAGGTGACCAGACACGGTTGTGGAGACGCTGTAAGCGTGCTCTCTCAACCTGTCGTTGAGACAGCGGCCCGTCTGGCCAACGTAGCGCCTGCCACACGTCAGAGGGAGAGAATAAACAACCCCGTCCGAACACGGGACGAAGCGATCTCGATGCCTCGTACTGCAAGCCGTGGCCGCCCTCGAAGAAGGGTTAACAGCTCTGCACAACCTGGACAGCTTGTCCGGGGCAGAGAATAAAACGTCGACGTCACACCTGCCAGCAATGCGTTTTAGGTTGTGGGACAGGCCGTGTACGTAGGGAATAACCACAAACTTTCTTCTTTCCCTTCCCTTTCTGTTGTTGGCCTCTTCTTCACTTCTCATAGGGCTGCTCTTGATATCTTTCAGCAAAGACTCGGCGACCGTTGTTAACACGTGAGAGGGAAACCCAGCATCTGCGAGGCGTTCAGTTTGCCTGTCAAAGCTATGTTTAATTTTATGATAACAAGACAACAAAAGAAAGGGAAGGGAAAGAAGAAAGTTTGTGGTTATTCCCTACGTACACGGCCTGTCCCACAACCTAAAACGCATTGCTGGCAGGTGTGACGTCGACGTTTTATTCTCTGCCCCGGACAAGCTGTCCAGGTTGTGCAGAGCTGTTAACCCTTCTTCGAGGGCGGCCACGGCTTGCAGTACGAGGCATCGAGATCGCTTCGTCCCGTGTTCGGAGGGGGTTGTTTATTCTCTCCCTTTGACGTGTGGCAGGCGCTACGTTGGCCAGACGGGCCGCTGTCTCAACGACAGGTTGAGAGAGCACGCTTACAGTGTCTCCACAACCGTGTCTGGTCACCTGGGCATTCATTGCCGCGACTGTGGTTGCCTTCCCGACTTCCAACGGTGTGAGGTTGTTAAGCGTCATAGGGACCAGCTTACTCGGGAAATTCGAGAGGCTGTTGAGATAGCGAGGCTGGGTGCAGCATGTGTAAGCAGTCCTTCTGTGGCCCTATCAGGCAAAGAGATGAATTTTCTAGTTCCGTGACTTGCTCGATTTTTGGCACATACTCTGTACGGCTGTGTCATGGCGCATTTCATTATTATTTTTTTCAATGTTTTTTTCAATGTTTTTTATCATTGTTTTATTTTTATTGGTGATACATCACATGGGCTGAATTTTTTATGTTCTTTTGTTCGTGACACCGCAAATAAATATTGCGAGTTTGCGTTCAATAAACTCAGTTGTAAGTCAGCGCTACGTCGACCCGTGTCACTTCTTTGTCCGGTCCTCGTCTTTCCGCGCTGTTTTTAATTTCCGAAGTATGTACCAACTCGCCCAAGCCTCAACTTTAGTGTTTTCACCGCTCGCACATCTATAGTAAAGTGCCTTAAAAGCGTTAAATTTAAGCGCCTTATACCTTTAGTTTATATGCTGTAGATCGTTCCGATACCTCCGATACCCCCGATAATGATACTTCATAACGATAGAATACATCCACAAAGCCCGCGGCTGAGTATCGAGTATCGTTATCGAAGTCATCGGAATGACATCCTAATACTCTCCACTTTCATCCCTGGCGTTCTCCAAGCTTTCCTCATAGAGCGCTCCGACTGGCTCTCGATAGTGCATAGCTGGAAAGTAGACGCGCCAGATTTCTTAGTGTAAATCAGACGCGAGTGTATAGAGGACGTGGGGCCTCTGCGTGGTAAGGTCGCATCGGTTCACGCTGTCGATAAGGCATTTAGCCGATTCAGCACGACTGCTAACCCGGGGTCTTTTGCTTGCATCACGTTGTATAGTGACACCCGACCACATGCCGTTCCGATGCCCATCCGTATGGAAACGAGCAGGTCAAGGAGGGCGCGGTTTGCGCCGAGAAACTAAGGTAGAGGAGGATACGCGAGATCGCTGGGGCGTTATAGAACGCCGAGCTCTGGTTCGAATGATTAGTGGTGCATTCGTCGAGTGGATTAGAACGTTGAACGCAGGCGTCGGGGCTTTCGCACTCGAACGGCCCCGATGCCTGCAGTAGAAATAAGGCAGCTAGCTTTAGGTCTACCCACTCATCCTTCCAAGAGCTCGGTGTTTTGACGTACCGCGCACTCTTGTCTCCTCTCTCTCGCTCATTCATTTTATTTATTTATTTGTTTATTTATTTATTTATTTGAAAATACTGTCAGCCCTCTCTTGGGGCTATTACAGGGAGAGTATCCATCGTTGTGATGACACATAAAAAAAAGACGCAAGCATAAGAAATTGTCAATGTAGCAGACACTGCTGTTCGAACAAGCAATGACAACAATGCACAACCTTGGCCCTCTAAACAAATTGAACAAATTGACCCACATAATTATTACAAATTGCACACTTAAAGGACATCACTTTAAGCTCTCATTATGTTAACAGCTTTGCAATGGAATCTTCAAAGGAGGACACGGTTTCCAAATTTACAACATCACTGAGCAAGGAATTCTAAGCCTCAATAGTTTTTACAAAGAAAGACTGTTTAAAGGTATCTATTCGGCTTTTATAAGTTTGACATGTTTTTGTATGATTCAATCTACTTGATCGTTTTGAGCTGGATGGGAGAACGTATTTATTCGGGCTTAAATTTAGTTTGTCGTTGGTCATTAAATAAAGCAATTTCAGACGTGCGACTTCTCGCCTTATGCGCAGAGGTTCTATATTACTAGCTCTGAGCACTTCCGTTGGGGATGCTGTCTGTCTGTAGTTAGAGTGAATAAGACGCGCAGCTTGTTGCTGGACCTTTTCTAGCCTATCAATGTCTTTTTTTGTATAAGGATCGCAGACGACACTACCATATTCCAAGATGGGCCTAAAGTATGTTTTATAAGCAACCGTTTTTATCTCTTTAGTTGTATGTTTTAACTTGTATCTCAAGAAACAAAGCTTTTTATATGCCGATGTGCAGACGGTGTCAATATGCTTGGTCCAGGTTAGGTCTTTAGAAAACGTGACACCAAGGTACTTAAAGTGCTTATGTATAAGGATCTGATTTTCTCACGTACGTGCAGCAAGTTTCTGTAGACATCGCGCACACCTACAGACTCCGTTCACCCTTAAATCGAGAGTGCGGTGGCAGCAACGCGCTCGCCGGACCTATCAACCGCTTCCCCCATCGTCACGTGACCGAGCTCTTTGCGCGTGAGTATGGCCGGAAGCGTGTTCACGTGGCTAAAGTTTGCCGTTTTACCGGGCTAATGAGCTCCTTAAGCTTCCAGTGCACTGTCGGCTCTGGAGATGCTTGCGCACTACTAAAATTCAAACGCGACAGAAAAAAAAAATATGATGCGCGCATAGTCATAACATGACTATATAGTCACACAGACATCTTAAGAAACTGAGGGCGTGTTCTATTATGGATCACGCTTGTTTCTTCGTGATTAGGTCTTGGGCGTTATTATTGATCGATGCCCCAATGTCGTTGGCTGTAGAGCTACAGTGAGGTGCTCGCGACTGGTTTTTGAAGCTCTCGGCAACTATACTGCTGTACTCACTTTTTTTTTTTTGCTGACAATATTTGTGAAAAATTTTCACAAAAATATGGCCTCGTTTATTTATAATTGGCAATTAAAATAATATTAATTGCGTCGTGGGCATGTTTATACAGCCGGAAGTTCATCGGCCTCAATGGGCGTCTGGTGTCTCAGCTGTACGGATTCAAAATTTCGCCAGTGCGGCGTGTACCGCTGCCAGCCCGTGGTATTTAAACGTCCATCACGCAGTAACGACCGCGCGCCGCGGCACGACGCTCATCCAGATAGAAACGGGGAAGAATGCGGATTTGAACCCATATGACCCCCGGGTTCTACAGAAACAGCTTTCACTCCGCGGGCTCCGAGCTGCATGCGGTGCGCGAACACACACGGGCACGGATCCCCCATGAATAGAAAATAGGAAG